AACGAGCATCGGGACATCGGAGCACCGAACAGGCAAGGACAACAGCTACCAACTGCCAACTAAGCCAAATTGTACGCTCAAGTGCCATAAAGCAATCAAAGTTGATATCAAAGTACCACACTGCTAACTTATGCTCTCATGTATTCAATTAGGACAGCTTTTCGAATGGCCCTGTCCCTGTTGCTGGTCCTGGTCCTGGTCCTGGTCCTGCTCTTAGTCCCTGTTCTGGTCTGGTCCTCCTCCTTCTCATTCATTTAAAAGAATTAAGCACTTTTCTGCAGCGCAGAGCTGAGGAGATGAAGAAATTACTGCAGCTCCTGGCATTGAAACCAGTCTGGGGCTAGAAGCTCCTTCAGGAACTTTCAACAACTTCCTATGCCCAAAGTTTCCACAAATTAGTTATGCAAATTATGTGAGTCGCCTTCACCTCAACGGGAGAGCAGGGCATCAGAGTAGAGCAGGGCTCCCAGCAACAGCATCGCTTCAGCTCCCTCTCCCATCGTTCCCCGCATTGAAATCCGCATTTAAAACAATGGCAGACGACCCTGGCCCCAAAACGGGAACCCAGGACCCCGGACCCAGGACCCAGGACTCAGACCCAAACCCATAGCCATAGCCGGGCCCCGATTAGGACGCATAACAAAGTAGAATTTGTGTAAGTTCGTATTTAACATGCTTTATGCATTCCTCAATTATAAATAGATTAAAGTCCAGAATAGACTAAAGTTAAATGTTAACTTTCCGGCCAAGGCGGACACCATTCACAAAGCAATTAACGCAATCGTCTCCACGCACCCCTATCCCTCGATTTGGATGGGATAAAGGATAAAGGGAAAAGGGAATACTGAGGCAGGAACCCAATTTAACTGACTGCCAACTTTCCACAATCACTGCCCATCATCAATTTCAGATTTTGTTGTATGTTTTATGAAGCAGTCAAGGCCCAGGACAACCTCCCGTCAACCAGACAGACGGGACAGAGACAGGCAGACATTCAGAGCGAGAGACAGACGGACTGACAGTCAGACGGACGGAAGGACAGACAGTCACCAAGAGAGGCAGATAGAGTGTGGCGGAGCGGAGGCGAAAAAGTGAAAACAATGCCTGGCCACAAATGGTTGGGCAATGACTGCCCAGGGAAGCGACCGCCCGCCGGGATATAGAGAGAGAGAGTGTATGTGTGGGTTTCTTGCCGAGTGTTTACTTAACCGTAAGCCTGACCCCACCCACAAGCCCCAACCCCACTGAACTTGAGCCACATCGCAGAACAAAGGAAACCAGTATAAACCAGCAACAGAAGCAGAGAGCGGAGGGGGGGAGGAGCGTAGGAGCGTAGGAGCAGGTCAGGAAAAAAAGGGTATCTTAAAGGATTGCTCAAGTTTTTCTGTCCAAAACCAATATGTAAATGTGCGTGTTGTGATTAAGCACAAAAGCAAAGTAAGCCAGATACAAAGGACAGACAGAGAGACAGAAAGACAGGCGCAGAGGATGGTGGAGTTTTCTTGGCCGAAAACCCAAAGCCAAAATCTCTAACCAAACCAAACCAAACCGCACCAAACCACACATAATGTGAGGCAAAAACGCAGCCTTGGCTAACTTTACACACCTCAAGTGTTTGTTTAGGTTGCTTTGCTTTGCTTTCGGTGCGGTTCGGTTCGGTTCGGTTAGGATGGTTGTTCAAGTGGAATGGTGGGAGCGATTGGATTGGTGCATGAACAGCAATGGTAAGGAGTAGGAGTGCGGCTGCCTGCCTTGGCCATTTGACGCCTTTGTTGTTTTTGGCCAGCGGCAAATATAAATCTTGCCAGCAATGAAGGCAGCGATCAGGTCTCGCCCAAGACAATGGCATGCCCGGGAACGGGAACCTATTAGCGTAGGGCATTCCTCCTACAGCTCCATCTCCCAATCCTTCTGCAGCGTGTGAAGTTTTAAGGAGCACGTCCATAAATTGCAACCGCCAGGTGAGCGGTGAGCGGTGAGCAGGGAGCAGTGGGAAATGGTGTTACCGCTGGGATAATGGGTCACTCCTTGATGTATCACACAAACAGACACAAATGATATTTATGCCGCCTCCAAGGAGAAAGAGTAGGATGGAGGAGTAGGAGTAGGAGCGGAGCCCGTACCCTTACCCATGCCCGTGAGGCTTCTTATGGACAGCAGCCGCGTTCTGCTTGGGTGTAATAAAAACTAAAATCCGCACAACAATATGTGCGAGGATAATGCCATTTCCGTTTTATGGGAAATCCTGTTAGTCCTCTGCCAGTGTGTGTGTGTGTGTGTGTGTGCGGTGGCGGTGGCGGTGCTCTCGCATGTGCGGCTTCCTCAAGGAGCCCGAAATCTGAGTGAACGAGTTACGGCTACACGGCGCCAAAAAAAGAATAAACCCGAGAAGAAGAATTGCGGTCGCCTCCTGGTGATGGGATGCGATAGGATGGAATGGCTCGGAATGGCATGGCACGGAATGGAATGGAGTGTCATGCGTGCGGTGCTGCGAATGTTTGGGATCAGGGCTCAAATTTTATGGATTGTCCGGGCACATAACACTATATGTACACACACTCGGCATCCGCAGTTGGGTAATAATGAAGTCGGAACTAAGAAATAAATTTGCCAAACTTAATCTTGGATGGACACGAGTGTGAAAGAAGCAGAAGGAATACATTATTTGAATGATGTATAATTATTACCGTATAAACAATACAAAAGATTTCTTTGGGAATTCAATTACCAAAAGTCAGAGTGGATTGAAAATCTTGGATTAGAAAGCATCATTGCCACAGGACTCAAGCTCTAAGGTAAATAGATATCCCAGAAGCCCAGGGGATTAGGACAAACCCTTCTAGCCCACTCATAACACTCCCTTGCACGATTTACAATCGGCTAATCTCTCTTGCATATTTGCATATCTGGCCCGGCTTCATCTTGGATTATGATAGTTATTCATTAGCAGCATTCCCGGCCTCGGGGACTCTGTGGACGACCATCTAGAAGCTAGCTGCGGTTAGCCACAAAGCCCTCACTCTTTCTGCATCTCTCTTTCTCGCTATTTAGCGCTCCCCTTTTCTATTTGTGTCTCCAGTCATAACTGGGGAAATCCCTTTTTTGCTCAGTGTGTGCTCAGTGTGAAGCGGCAGGAAAAACAAACGTCCGACGGACTGTGTGCCTCTCTCTCGCTGTATGTGTGTGTATGTTAGGAAAAGTAAAAAAAGCGCAACCAGAGAAGAGACGGATGGACAGCAGTAGAGAAGGGATAGAGCAGGATACAGAGGGAAGAGTGAAGGCAGCAGCAGCGGAAAGCAGAAGAGTAAGAAAAACCATAACTAAATCCATTGCCATAGGAAAATCCAAAGCAAAGTCTGCGATGCAAATAGTAGAGATTATGGGACTGCAGATGTATGAAGCACGAGATGGAGATGGAGCTGGATCCCGAGATGGTGGCAGTAGTGGGCACGAGGAGCTGAAGCTGAAGCTGGAGCTGAGGCCGGGCGTCAGACCCAAGGCGCGGCCTCGTTGATGGCAACACGAGAAGGGGCACTGGAAGGTGTTATGTGTACGTGAGTGTGTGCCTCTGACTGTGTGCCTGTGTATGTGTGTGTGTGTGTGTGGCACAATAAATCTTGCAAGGGTGCCGAATGGCCAGGCACGGATATGGGCATGGATTTGAGCCGGGACGTTACCCGCTCAACCCTCAGTGAAAACCAAAACCAAATAAAACTGACATTATGCGAAAAGCGAAAGCCATAACTAAAAGTTGGATAACGTGGCCATGATGGTACCAAAGAGGAAGAGGTGGAGCAGGAGGGGGAGGTGGAGGTGGAGGTGGAGCAAGAGTAGGAACAGAAAGAGCGCCGGGAGCTGGAGCAGCCGTAAAGTTGCTACTAAAGCGGAGAGCAAATCGCGCCGGACGGGGGACAGACTGCAAAAACAAATCGGAACTGGTACAATGCTGAGTGATCGACGGGTAGGTACCACGGAAATGAAAAACAAAACGAATCAGAAATCAAAGAAGAGGAGATCGGAATAAAACCACGCAAAGAAAAGAAAGGTAGGATTTTGATAGCGGAAGGGAGATTAACCTGAACGAACTCCCTACATTCCCAATGAACTCGAAAGAATCTCAAAATAGTCAAGGAGAATAAAATACAGCAATGATAATTACTATAATAGCACTAGGGGCAAGGCCCTGCCCAGTCGCTTCGCTGCTGAGCCAACCCCCAGCTCACTCGCTAAAGACTATGATAATAGCCTGTAATAAATATTGATATATATTTAATGCCTTTTTCAAATCTTTTGCCAAGACCGCCACAGGGGATTCTACAACGCTTTTATCAATAGTACGAGTATATACCATTACAAATGAATACGCTAGACCTCATTAGTTTTGAGAACAGTACAGTGAAATACTACAGTTTTGTAGTAGAGGAACTCAAGATACCCTCTAGGTGAAGTTTGTTTTGTTAATGATCATGAATGCACATATGTAAAAAAAAGAAGAATTTAATGACGAGTCTGATCTATCGAATACGATCTACAGATCGAAGAAGTTGCATATAGCTAGCATAGTTACTTAAAATAATTGATTGAAGTTAACCTGAAAATCCAAACCCGATAGAAGATAATCAATAGCTAAACAAAGCCATATTCCCAATCTCAACAGGAATCTCTTCTATTACGCTTCCCAAAGCTTTGGCCCCGCGAATTAAGACCATCTCTGAATGCACCACAAAAGGATTTCCCAGCTCGAGCACGAACTGAATATTCCCCGAGTTCACCCTTTCCTCTGGAGGGTGAAGGTGCTGCTTGGCGGCTGGGTGGGGGCTGGGTGGATAGAGATATCGGGTATGAAAAACAGAAACAGGAAAATAGAAATGATAGCAAAGTTGTGAAGCGAACGGGAGTGAGGAACAGCGGTACAGGGGAACGGGGGAACAGAGGAATGGGAAAGCAAAGAGGGGGCACCTGAAACGGAAATCGACTTTGGTAAGGAGTTTTTCTCGTACCTGGCGAATCTGAATGTTGAAGCTGCAGCAAAGTTATGCAAATGTGAAGTTGTTCTCTTTGGCCACCGTTTCGTGGAGCTCCTGCTCCTGCTCCTGCTCCTTCTGCTGTTGCTGTTGCTGTTCCCCTTCTAGGAACTGTTTGCCCGTTCTAGGAGCGAGACCTTCTGTCAATCGAAGGCGATGTCGCGAGTGCTAATGACGTTTGCTGTGATTGCACCCCGCATTCGAATTGGAAGCTGAAGCTGTAGCCGGCGCCAAACACAAGCCAGGACCACAACTCAAAACTGTCATTTTCGCGGGCATGGAAGCCTCTATCTATAAGGAGTGTGTGTCTTCTTCAGCCGCTGCTCTGCTTCTTCTGGTTTACAACTGTTTGAACGTGGATGTGAATGTGAATATGAATGTGGATCTGGATGCGGTTGGTGAGGCGATGGATCTGTGGCTGTGCCTGTGCCTGTGCCCGTGGATGTCTATTTATTTAATTTGCATGCAATTTTCTATTTTTATGCGAAATACTTGGCATTGACAGCAAACGATGCGCACATTTCGCATCGGCAATGCACAATAGAAATTGAATTGCAAAAATTTGTTTGCCAGTTGGATAGAGGAATGGGATTTGAAGGGGGGCAACTTGAGGAATAGCGGTTTGGAGGACCCTTCACGTTCACGCCAATGTCAGGCGAAGCAGACGGCAGATGGCAAAGGCAAAGGCAAACGCAAGGCAGTGGCACAGGAAGCACAAGGAATCGCACAATTTGGCGGCGAAAATGTCAAGTATTCCAAATGCTGGAAGGACGACTGTGACTGTGACTGCAATTACAATGGCGGTGGCAACAACAATAAGGTTGTGCCGGCTTCCACAGTAACAGACACAGATACAAGCGCACACTCGCAGACGCACACAGAGGAGACGCAAATACATACACTGTCACTGAGGCAGAGTCAGAGTTTAAAAGTTTCAGAGTCAGAGGAGTCACGACCGAAGACTGGCCACACAGACAGCATTTGGTTCTGAGAGAGTTTTTGGGAGACGTACAAGCAGACAGACTGACAGACAGCCCGCCGCAAATGTGCAACAAACAACGAGCAGCACCAAAAAAGGAAACGCGCGCGAAATTTGCGGCACGGACACGCGGCAGAACACTCGGCAAACGAATCTTGAACGACTCCTGAGGACAATGCTGCCACCAACTGCAGGGACGAACGAGCGTTCTGGTACTGAATTCGCACGCGACTAAAAGGATGCTGGCGAGGATGCTGCCGCTGCTGCCGTCTGCTGCCAGTATTCACCCGACGATGACGATGACGATGACGACGACAAAGGCCGATTCGGATGCTGCTGCCGAAGTTGCTGATGGACCGTTCGGATGCCGTTTGAAAGAGCCAAGAGTGAGAGCTTTTAGAGAGAGAACGAGCGAGAGAGAGGGACAGAGATTGGCGACGTGTGACTTCGTTAAATTTCTGCGGCGACAGCACACAAAACGGATTCGGAAGCGGAAGTAGCAAGTAAGCGAGCAAGCCAGCCAGCGAGCGAGCGAGCGTTCTGTCTCTTTGTGAGTGTGTGTGCGTGTATGTGTGTGTGTGTGTGTGTGTGTGTGTGTGTGTGTGAAGGAGGTAGGGCTAGGGGTGGAGTGCCGCGTTGGAGTGGCATGAAAGTGGGGGCGAAGTAGCGCCAAGTGGCTGGCTAAAGTCGAGACGAGTCGCGAGTCGAGTCGCGGAGCACGACCAGAATGGAACTTTTGTGTTTGTGTTTTGCAATGGCAACTATACACACACGCACACACACACAGATAAACACATAAGCGCACACAAAGAAGACACACAAGCAACACTCATACACTCCTAATACTTATACGCCATGGCATCAATATTCACATTCGCACTTGTGCGAGTATTTTCTGATTTGCTGCAATCGCGTCAGCCAACAACAAACTTGGCGTACAGCAGCGGCAACAACAGAAAACAAACAGCAGAATCAACAACAACAATCAGCAACACAAGCAGCAACATTCCAAAACAATTACAACAACAAAGGTTAAAAGAAAAGAAGACCGCTAAGAGGTCGAAGCCGATGATACCCTGGCAGAACGATCGTTTGAATTTTAGCTACAAAATAATTATTTATCATCTGATTTAGTATTTTTTCAAAACTATGTAGAAAACAATGAAACTATATCTAATAGCGATTTTTTGTATACCTTCATTAATGCTGGACTACATCGATTCTGATGTTAATTCTGTCGTTTCTCCCTTATCTGTAGAGCAAACACCTTCTCGAAATCATCATGTCTTCTCCTAGGGTATAGAAAGCGCAGTATTTTCCAGCGGATGTTTGGTAAATCTTTGCCGCCGGAAACCCAGCGATGTCTTCTCTCCTGCTTATAGATATATGTACGTACCCTTAAGAATCAGCTCAGATGTGTGCTTGGGGTATGAAGAAAGACCGCCCTTCTGCAATACATACTCAAAAGTAACCGCGCACCCATATGTGAGTGTGAGTATGTGTGTGTGTGTGTGTGTGTGCTGGCATCGATAACTAATAAAAGCATTACATTTATGTTAGAGCGAAGCGCACTCCGACCCTGCACATTGCCATGCCCACAGCCATTCCAGCATCCAGTACCAAATACCCACCTGATCCGCCCGAGGCAATAATTCAGTTTTCATTTCTCTGTTTTCCTCAGTTTCTCATTTTCATTTTGCAGCCATTGCATGTGTGCCCTTCGGTACCTCCACTCCGGCTGTCTCTTTCCCCTCGTACCCCCTATGTGGCACAGTCATGGCCAACTAATTAGGAACCAGTGCCAGCTGCGATTTCTTCTCGAATTCCATTCCTGTTTGGAGAGCCTGTTTAGAGAGTTGTGTCTATGGGTGTCTCTCGTTTGGTTGCCAATTGCTTAGTTGATTTTCATTGTCGTCAGGCTCCATGGGTGGACTGGAGGAGAGGGCGACGGAGAGAGGTATTGGATAGTAAGTGAAACGATAAACTCCATGTAGCTCGCTGTCATTAATTGGCTGCTGGTTGATGTTTATGTCGTTAGCTCTTCCTTATTGAAAGAAGGAGTTAACAGGGAGTGCAAAATGCAGCTGGAAAGGCAATAGTAGAGGAAATAGTAGTATAGGACGATAGAGTGGGATTTTTATAATCTTCTTATACGGAATACTCCTTCTGTAGGAATTCGAAAACGTTGTAGAGGAATATGACAGAAAGGGGGATCCAAATCTGATTACTCCCTTCTCATTAGTTGAACCTTCCACTTGGCAGGAATTACATTTTGCTCCTTTGAACTCTCAGAGATCAATTTTCAATAAACTTTCACAGGAAACCATCTTTGGCAGCTCTAAAGTCTTGCTTATAATAATCTCTCCTCTAAAAGTTTCTTTCGCCGCTTACAAAAAGGTCTAGACACTAAAAATGAGAGGGGGAGAAAGTTATCGTTGGATTATCGAGTTTAAAAATCCTTTTTCATATGGCGAGTTTCAGCTTTTATTTTCGTAGAAATATAAATAATCCTCAGACACAGCTTTGGCAGCTCTGGGAGTAACTTTACTTGTTTTTCCCGAATAAAGCCTGCATTCGATTTTACAATCAGGACTCACATAAGTGTATATCGATTTTACATCATCATCATTCCTCATTTTCAAGAATATTGCAAAGATCTCTATTACTTCCATTGGCTGCTCTAAGTATCCTCTTTGAGAGTTCCATATTCAATTAGCTCCTACAGGCAGGACACAACTCTTGGGAGAGCAACTGGGAGGGAAAACGTCCAGCATGGCGCTGCTTGAATATTAATTAATAAAGTATTTATATATACGATTCCTAAGTATCTGGCTGCTTAATGCGAAATGCTGCATGGAAACTATCAGGGCGTGTACTCTATTTCCTCGCCGCACTGCCAAGTCAAAGCCAGCTTCCGTCTGAGACGGAGACCAGGACCTAAGACTGAGGACAGAGGACCCGACCAGGTTCTTGGTTTGCTTCCGATATCTGTATCTGTTTGTGTCAGGCGGCTGCATTTACCTTCCCTTCGAATGGCGAAAAGAAAATATCCGGTTTTCAACCGCATATTGCACTTTTCTACCCATTGTGCAGCCCCATTCGTTATCCTGCTGAGTGGCTAGCAGACAGACAGAGAAAGAGAGAGAGAGAGAGACACAGGCACAGGCAGGGACAGAGACAGAGATAGAGACAGAGACAGACACACGTTCAGGACATTGAATTTGTTTTGGGTTTTGATTTTTCGATTTCAGATTGCACGTTTGAATGGCCAGAATCAGAAGCAGAAGAAGGGCAGGAATGAACTGGACCTGGTCGAGGAGCAGGACCAGGGCAGGGTCTCCTAACCTCGACAAATTCAAGTTGCAGCTGAAGTGTTGACTGCTGCCTGCCACATTTATCGCAGCTGCATCTGCAGGCGACACACACAAAGACACACAAAAATATCCCAATTGAAAGGAAGTGTTGGCCGGCCATGGGTCCACTGTCCATTCAATAAACTAATTAAATCCAAGTGTCGTACAATTAATTTGCACTCGTTTCTGCTTCTGGAGAACAGACCCATCACGATACCAGTGGAAGATTTTTGTTTATGCGCATCCATTTCTAATTAAATTTACAAGTCTAAGGAGTATTCACTGTACGCCTAGCATTCCATAGTCCATAAATCCGAGCTTTGTTGGATGGAAATTGGTGAATTTTCAGCTTGATTCCCTTCAAGCATTCGGATTGTGTTTGCATTCTCGATTTTCATATTTCTCATATTTCTTCCTTTCTTGTGTTTGCATTTGCCAAATGGAAAAATGTTCAACATCTCAGCTGCTGCTGCTGCTCCTTCCTTTTTCTGCTGCTACTGGAAATCCCCTCAATTACTGCAACAATGCAAATGGAAATTGAGTATATTTTGCAGTCACACTCTCAGGGCTGGCCTTTAATAAATATTCGAGCTTTAATCCAATAATCGGCTAATGAATTCCGAGACAACGTAAACCAGTCGATAATGGATAGTGGAGCACTCGCCTGTTCTCCATTAGCCAATCACGGTCTTCACTCAGTCCAAGGATACCTTCGAGTCACTCCCATGTAGAGGGTGAACGGCTTTTAGCTCTCCGTTACACAGTTTTTCAGTTAAAGACTGCATCCGCAGTTCCCGGCTCCAAGCTCATCAAACTGGCATGCATCGCCTGGCCACATAATTGCAAATGACACCGCAAAGAGAATCCCCATTCCCATTCCCACTCCCATCTCCATCCTTAGTGCCATTCCCATCCTATTTAACCCCCCTTGAACCCATCAGCCTAAGCGCGGCAAACGCCAGAGAAATGTTTCAAGTCCTATTTCTGTGTTTGTTGTTTAGCTTCATCCAGTGTGTGTTTTTTTCTCGCTCTTGTCCTTTGGACCTGGCTCTTTGATGGCGACTGAAACTGCGACTGCACCTGGCAGGGCTCGCTGCTTTCCACTTCTCTACCACTTTTTGCTCTGGCCTTGGCTTTCTGCTCTATTGTTGCTGGTCGTTTGCTGCTTGTTTGTTGCATATCAGGGAATAAGTATTTCTGGCATTATGGCTATATGAGTACTACGCCACACTCCCACACACATACATACATACATGCATCCAGGTACAAAGGGGAGTACAGAGAGAAAAAGATAGTAAGAGGGTGAGTGTGTGTGTGAGCGTGAGAGAGAACGGAGTATAATTCGCTTAACCCATTGCCAACCACAAAGGGATCTGCTGAAGTGATTCCACTTCGTCGAAGCTTCACTACCGAGATTCTTTGGTGGATAAATATCATGCCAGAAACGCAGCTAAAGAGTAAACATTCATATTTCCTTAATATTTCCTTATAAAAGAGGTCTCCTTTCCGATTCTGTTTGATCTATAAAAAATCTACGAACTCCAATCTCTTGAACTATTTATATTGCTTATTATTTCATGAACTTCCCACCGAAAGTGTAAAGCGATCCCCAGACTTCAGCCAAACTTTTTTTGTCATAAAGAAATGAAGTGAAAAGGTCAATCAAAGTTGGGCAAAGTATCAGAATTATCCATTGGCCCAGAAAGGGTTAAATAGCTGCGATGAGGCTGGAGCCTCGCCTGCAGGATTAGCTGAGGGCAATCTCTCTAGCACTCCCGTTCTTTCGCTCTCTCTCGCAAAGCTGAGACTTTGCTACGGCAGAGAGCCAACAGGATAATAGGAA